GAGGACATGGACAGGCTGGCGGTCTGATCTGACTGATAAAATGTTTGACCTACAAGCTGCTCCAAACTTTCTCTGTCAAGGGACTCAAAATAAAATGTTATGTGTTGGGAGAAAGAATGCAGTCCGCAATGCAGGGTTCATATCATTCTCTGGATGACTTTAGCCATGCTGCTGGCAGTTGATTGGTCAGCCACTTCTACTCCAAGGATATGTCATCCCTCAGCTTTGCCACCAACAGGTTGGCGTTTGTGGTAATGTTGTGTTAAACCTTGTGTCTTATGAAGTCTGTACACTTCTTTTAAGCACTTGCTCAGCAGGCCTTTATTTACCCCAAAAATAAAGGCCTTTGAAAATAACTTCAAATCATAAATCACACAATGATTTGTGTGATTATTAACATGTTTTTTTAAATGTTAAAAAAGGGTTAAGTCTTTGTCCATGGAGTGGACACTACACGGTCAGCCTATTACTGTAAATGTAAACTCTACTTTAGTACCATTTATGAAATTTAGGTGTTACTGTTGTTTCTGTTATAGCCTCACAGTCAGAACAGTTAAACCATTTATCTCTGATGGCCTAGTTGAAGATCGTGGCTAAGAAGCTCCACTGTGATGACCGTAAGTGGTGAAGAAAACAGAAGGTGCATCGTTTCAATTTAAATAAAATTGAAATTTAAAAGGCCAAAATTTTCCTGAAAAGACAGGTTGATGACATAACTGTTGAGTTAGTGGGTGAATGTGAGTTTTAGACAGACTTTTTCCTGTACCAGAGAGCTTTATGTGAACTTTTTGGTGATATGACTACAGAAAAAACAAAGTGACTGACTTGGTGAACTATTTAGAGTTAGTATTCCAGGACAAACGTAGTAACCTAATTCCTTTTTCAGCCATTGTGTGGATACAGTTCCTTAATTGAACCCTGTGCTTTCTCACTCATTTGGGACAATCCAGATTTTCAGTTTAACAGAGCAACACTTCACTTTACAACATGGGAGCAGAAAGGAATCTCACGTCTTCATCACATCTTTCGTGATAAAAGTTCATGTCAGCCTCTAATCTGTTCCAAAGATTTGGATTAGACAGCCAAAATATTCTCTACCACCTTACAGTGAGCTATGAGTGTGTTCACCCGTGGCTTGAAACAACTCAAAAGCTTTCCTCTATCTCCTCATTTGTGCTTCCTCAGTGAGACGACCGCAATTAGTCTTCCAACCAAACAAGCTAAACCCACACTCACTGCTTCAGCCATTGCCAAGAAAATAATACTTATTATTAGAAAATCAAGCAATCACTTAGCATTAATCACTGGTTGAATAATACCAATTGAAGAAATATTAGTGAAAAGAGTGTCTGCCTCCTTAAAAAATTTATTACGTTTGATTTGGCCGACTGTGCTTAGTTTGCACGTACGGGCCCAGCCGTGGGTCTGGTGGGCTTGTTTTCACCCCCTCCCTGATTTCTCTGTAGCTCCACCCCTTTCTGGTTGCTTTCCTCTGCCTCGCCTCTGTGACTGCAACTACTGCAGGAGATGTAACCGCCGGTCATAATTCATCGGTTACTTTCTGTCTCTCTGGAGATTCCCGGGTGGATGCTCTGGGCTGCCCTCTTTCTTCCGCTGGTGGGGGCGGGCTAGAGACTCCTCTGGGTGCCGGATCTGTGGGTCTGCGGGAGGGTGGGAGGTCAATGACTCTGCCTCTTCTTTACTATCTCTCAACGGGTTGGTTTGACCTCACCTGTCTCGCTTCTTTTAATCCACAGCACTAGTGCACTGACACTGACACATACGAGTCATAACTATACTGATGTAGAGCAGAATACGACTCACTGTAAATGGTGAGGGTGGGCTGGGATGGTGGTCGGACTATCTGCGACTGCCTCGTTTTCTCCTGTTCCACCTTCCATCAATTTTAATGCAACTCACTAAACCACTTATAGGTGGGGCTCACACCAATCAGGCATGAGGAAAATGTACTTAATTAACTTTAAGAATTTATAGATGTCCCCAATCAGGAAGCTGGATAACATACACGATTTAAATATATATTTATCCAATTTTTAAAAAAACGAAAAAACAGCTTTTGGGTTGGTCCGGCTTGGTGTGAGTCCTGGGGGTATTGTGTTGGCCTGTGTGATGCATTCCCTCCGTGCCCACTGTCCCGTCCCTTCACCCAGCTCACTGGGTTGGGGTGAGTGCCTCTCGCTTCCACGATTGGTCGGGGTCTGAGGCCTGTGGGGGTGGGCTGTGGCGCCTGGGTCGTGCTGGCCGGGTCTGTTCGGTGTCCCTCAGCTTCTGCAGTGTTCTGGGTCCTTACTACATCTGTGATGCTGTGCTGGTGGACACTAGCTCTCCGTGCAGACTTTCATACATGTTTCTCACACAGCACACTGATGTTCTCGGCTTATTGGTCTTTACTATTGTTTTCCAGACTATGGATTCTGGGCTCGCGAGTTCTCATCATCAACGCTCTTTGTTATAATGTTTGTGTTCCAGTGACTCGGGTGATCTTGATGGGGCTGGTGATGCTTGAATGTTTGGTTTTTGGGTCTCATCAGGGTGCACCTTTAATGGTGCGGTTATTATGACATACTGACACAACCTCACAAATGTGCAGCTTCTCTGTCTCGGGTCCATACATACAGCTAATGGACTCAGGGGATAATCTGCAGGTGGACAGTGCAGCTGTCACAAACAGATAAACAATATGACTGTGTATTTAAAAACTAATTCAGCGACTGTGCAGCTGCCAAATGAAATCTTTAAATCCATAACTGCTCTACAGAGTTTATTCCATCATGTTCTGATTAAACTAGCAATCACACGCTATTTAATGCTACCATACTGCCAATAAAAACAATCATATTTATAGTCTGGCATCAAATGACATCTCACCTTTCAGTTTGTGCGTGCATTGCAATCCTCTGAAACACATACTGTAAGTCCACTGCAAACCTGATCCTGTCCACTTCCATGTTGTCCCCACGGACCTCATCCCTGTTCTTTGTGTTGAGCTCAGCATGCTACCTGGCCTGCTGTGTTCAGTGTGTGTCTGTGTCCTTTCCACAGCCTGATCACTGCTGTGATTTATCCTCAGTTATAAGGGCCAGAACACATAAATGTATATTTAAAACTTATAAACTCCTACCATACATAAAATGATTAAAGTCCCTGTTTTGATTAACTCCCTGCCCACCCACCACAAATGGGTTTGATTTGTCAGTGCAAACTAGATCCAGGTGATGTTCCACGCTCTCTTCCAGGGCGGCAGTCGATCAAAAACAGGACATGTTTGAGTTTAATCAGCTCTGCGACAAACCTGGACACGCCTTAGACTTAGAAGTGTAGTTTCCCAGCGCACTGTACTGAGCCATTTTCGACCTGAACTCAATGTTGCAGCTTAGAGTTGTTTTATTACCACCTAGTAAGCACTAATTCAGCCAGGGATGCAGAATGATGCAAGCCAAAGCAATCCGCTGAGTGTGGGTAGCTTTCATCGCATTTCCATTCACCAGATAGCTGTGATCCTGCGCTGTCAGCTTTAAAAAGCTTATCAGCAGGGAAAGCACAGCAGCAGCGTTGGACTTGAGCGACTTCGAATTAAGATGTTACTTATTTTAATTGTACTGAATGTTTTTTCTCGAAGCAGTTAATTTGTTCCCTGAAAAGCAGGATTGCTTCTCTTAGGCTTCCAAATTTTAGGTTGACTTGATATCCCTGACATTTTTTACCATTTTAAAATCTCAAAGCAGGAATATTTTATCCAGAAACACATTAAACTCTGCTGGTGTTAGACTTTTAAACCTGCAAGAGTTTTTTTATGTCTCGTTTTCAAAAAGTCTGTTAACGATGGATACATTTTTTCAGCTCATTATTTTGATTGTCAGGATTACAGCTTTACTGTTTTGGTTCATGCCTCTTCTAATTTCCATAAATATCCCACATTTAATGATATTAATGATTTATATGAATATCACAATATTAATATTGATAATATCTAACTTTTAAGATTAGGCTTTAAACATTCCTATTATTAGAGGTGGATCAGGTGACCCTGACTCCTCCCTTATGCCGGGACTCCACCACTCTGCATTTAATCATTGGTTATTATTTTTCTCTGGCTCTTTTCCAGCTTCCACAGCCCATCACTCCCAAATGCTCATGGCAGATAGCTGCCCCTCTCTGAGCCTAGTCCTCTCAGAGGTTTCTTCCTGTTAAAGGGAGGTTTTCCCTTCCCACTGTTGCCAAGTCCAGCTCCAGGCCCCGAGGGCCAGTGTCCTGCAGGTTTTAGATATGTCCTTGATCCAACACATCTGATTTAAATGGTTAAATTACCTCATCAACGTGTCTTGAAGTTCTCCAGAGACCTGGTAATGAACTAATCATTTGATTCAGGCCCAGGGTGAGATCTAAAACCTGCAGGACATCGGCCCTCGAGGCCTGGAGTTGGACATAGAGGGTAATCTGATTGTTGGGGTTGTCACTCTATGGTTATATTTGGTGTTTTTAAAATAAAATTGAGTCAAATTGAAATTGAAATTGAAGAACATCAAGCCCCTGAAATCAAAAGGCAGCTGTTTTTGGATTCTTTTCAGGAATTTTAAGAAACTATACCAGAGCTTATTTTTAAATATTTCATATATTTGACTTTATTTTACCAGTGAAGCACTGAAACATCGCTCAAGTCTGTTAAATGTCCAAGCATGAAACCGTTTTCAAACACATTAGTCATGTTATCTTGTTTTGTTTTTTTAATTTCTTTATTAATCATTGAACTACTGCATCAAATACTGTCCTTCTTTGAGATGCACTGTCATCGCAGTGTCCTGTAATGTTGTGGTTATATTATGGGACTCTTCCCGTTTATAATTCAAAGCCACACAGGTTTAGTTGCCCTTAGAAAAGTGTCAGAATACACTGTGCATCACAGTTTGTTGTGTAGGGGGCTGCATAGCTGCAGACCAGTCAGGGTGCCCATGCTGACCCCCTTCTTCCACTAAAAATGACCAACAATGTGCATGCGAGCATCAGGACAGGACCACAGAGCAATAAAAGAAGGTATCCTGGTCTGATGAATCACACTTTCTTTCTTCTTTTTCTGGTGTGTTGCTTACTGGAGAACACCCGGCTTCAGGATGCACTGCAGGAAGAAGGTAGTTGGCAGAGGCAGCATGATGCTTTGGGCGATTTTGGGAAACCTTGGGTCCTGCCATCTATGTTACTTTGGCACGTACCACTTGCCGAAGCATTGTTGCAAATCATGTACACCCTTTCATGGAAACAGTACTCACTGGTGGCTGTGGCATCTTCCAGCAGGATAATGCAGCCTGTCGCAAAACAAAAAGGGTTCAGAATTGGTTTGAGAAGCACAACAATGAGTTTGAAGTGTGGACTTGGCTCCAAATTCCCCAGATCTCAACCCAATCGAGTAACTGTGGGACTGTGCTGGACAAACATGGAGACCCCACCTCACAACTTACAGGACTTAAAGGATCTGTCGCAAACATCTTGGTGCAGATACCACAGCACACCTTCGGGGTCTAGTGGAGTCCATGCCTCGATGGGTCAGGGCTGCTTTGGCAACGAAAGGGGAACCAACAAAATATTAGGCATAGGGCATCATGTTGTGTCTAACTAGAAGACTGGCCAGAGAGCACATGCTCCGTCGATGTGAGTGCTCACTTGTGCTGTTTCAAAGACAAACAGACAAAAGCACAACACGTGATGATCACATCCAGCGCTTACTATAAGGACAGTTTTTAAAATCTAAGCTTTACTTTTTTTTTTTCCATTTACATCTGTAAAACTTTACTTCAAGTCTGAGCTGAACACATGCATGTACAAGTCCAATTTTATAACATCACAGCTAGCTTGGAAGCCAGTCGTAATCCAGAAAGCAACTTAAATAAACTCCCAGCAACACATCCACCTACTGATACCATATCGGACAGATTATTGTTCAAAGCAAAGTATTTTTAAATGTTTTAAAAGATGTCTGGAGGGGATCTTTAATGCGCGCCGCTCACCTCAGTCTAAATGGAGACATCCTGTTTCACAGGAAGGTGTCACTCACAAATTATACAGCTCGCAGTAATCAGGAATCGGGCCAGCACCAGCATCCTCCAGAACAGATCTTCTTTTTTCCCGTTTTTTTTTTTTTTTTAATCTTACTCTTTCTGTAAAACAGTGTGTATACGTGTGTTTTGACACCTTCTACTAATTCATGCATTTGTTATTAGAGCTATCCATCAGTGTGTAATTAGACGTTTGCCCTGAGAAAGATCTGATGATACATCGTATACCATAAATACTATGCTGTCATGTTATGAAGGGAATAAGTCACGGGGATACATTTCCACAAACATGTCAGTCAGTAGAAAAGCTGTTTAATGAAAGATGACAGAGAGAACTCCTCAGGCAAAAGAAGCAATAGCATACCCGAATTAACATAAGCATCATTCCAGTTGTCAAGCTCGCTCCCCACTTTACTGGTATTTTTAAGTCAGGATAAACCTGAGGAATGGAACAACCATTAAAACAAACACTGATTCTGTTTTCTCTGGCACCGGGCTGCATTTCACAGGGAGGGAGAAGAAAAAGAGAAGAGAAAAGAGGGGGAAAGAAAACAACCACGGCTGCTTTTCTGGCAGGAGCATGAGATGCGGTGGTAGAGAGCCGAGAGCGGCATCTCGTGCCAGCACATCCACATGTCATTTCTGTTTAGACACACCTTGGAGAATGTGACCTCTTTCCAAGCCTGGCCTGGCAAGGGGTCCGCGGTGATGGGAAGGCAGAGCCCCGGATTGTGGTGAACCTGTGCCAGACAGCTGCCTCCCACCATGTGAATACATGCGTGTGCGCACTCATGACTCACTACATGCAAGGTATGTGTGCACTGCAACTTTGCAGCTCAGTGACGTTGGTTCTGGCACGCCAGCCGCTCACTGGCTCCACCGCTCGTCTGTGATCTGTTGGTTGGCCCCGTTGGTGTCGCCACCACAATCTCAGCCCAAAAATCCCTCCTCCGTGCCAACGTACACTAGGTTTCAGCTTTTACTGAGCTTGTTGGGGGCAGAGTTGGCGAGAGCGAACACACCACATAGATCACGGCTGTAGGGGTACAATAACAGGTAGCCGAACCCTCCCTTGCATCGGCTACTACGGTGTATCAAGGTGGACACAAGGACCAGCCGACCTCAAAGTTGATGGGTAATTTATTTATCGTGACTTCATAGAAATCTGATCAGTTTGACTTGCTGATGAAAAAAAAAAAAAAATCAACATTTTATTGCTGTGTCTACAAAGCTTACTTAAATAGTAAAATGACAATACATTAATATTGCTGTTACACAATGTAAATCCTTATATGAAAAGACCCTGTTCTGAACTGGGCCTCATTTACTCTACGTCTTAAAAAATGGATAGTCAGACCTGAGCTGTTTCTTTTTTCGCAGACTTTGTGCTCGTCTCTCTCAAGCTGAATTCCGACCCACTCCTAATCAGTTTCTGTCTCTTTTTCTCTTCCTTCATCTTCTTCTTTAAACCTTCACTCATTTGCACCTTATTAACTTACTCTTTGATTCTGTCTCCACTGTTGCATCCCGAGTTTCTCCCTCTCAGCCCTTCTTTCACTGTCTGAGATCATGAAACTACTCTTTTTTTTCCTTTTTAAGTCTCGCACGGCATCGAGAAGTCCCGGTATAGTGTGATTAGGAGCCAAAAAGTTAATATGCTTTAAAGTTAATTTGAAACAGGTCAGCAGCAATAACAGGTCTAATCAACCGAATGGATAAAATAATGATGTGCCAAAATAAGTCACCGAAGCGCTCAGGAATACAATCGTTCCCAAAAGAACATCGTGTGTAATAGGAACTGAAACTAGTGATTGAGACCATAAACTCATCAGGAAAGTGTTTACTGAGATCATGAATCAAAAGAGACACGAGCTTTTCCCACAGACTTCTAAACATCCAGACATCTTTCACAGTACTCGTAATTAGTAAGAATCCAGGATACTGCACTTCCTCACTGGTGTCACTTATACATCTTTGTGATGTTATAGACAGGAGATATTCCCAATATGGTCGAATCAGGGACATATTATAATATTAGGAACAAGTCAGTGTAGCACATCCATGGACAGAGCCTGATCAGTGCTTTGTTTATGGCTTATTTATAGTGAGTCACAAATAGATTACGAGTTTTACAATTTTACTACCGTTTACATTCGCTGCCCCCATCTTGGATTGAATTCTTAACTCGGGATTGGTGGGTTTTCTTTTGGCTTTCCGAGTACAAATTCCTAGTTGAAGGGGCTTGAAAATTCCGACCAGGAACTGGAACAAACCAATAGTTCAGAACTGGGAGTACAGAACCCCGACCAATCAGAATAAAGATTAAAGCTGGCGTAACTAGAGAGCGACCCAGAGGGAGAGAAGCTAAAATGGCATGTTTTAAATTTAAATGGAAAGGCCTAGACCAAAGAATAGTATAAGGCAGGATTATTCTGAACTGGGAATCATGCAAAGCTACTCTAGCTGTTCTAAAATCAGGCTCTGTTTGACATGCAAAATAAACCCTTTGACGGGAGGTTGTCATGTAAGGAATTAATATACGATTGAAAGCCACACAGGGGAAAAAAAGCTTTAAAAAAAAGAAACCATTAGTGAGCTGAAGAACAAAGGAGCTAACAGAGAAGGAAAATGTTTTCCCCAATTTGTTCAGTACTGCTTCCATAGTATTAATGTGTTTGTGTATTTTACTGCTGTCTGTTAACTGGAAAGCAGTTTGCTCGACTCTGTCGTAATTTTTAAATAAAGTTGGATTGGATAATTTAGGTACTAATAGGGCCTTTTTATGAATACAAACACTTTTGTAGAGTTTGAGATTTCACCCTGATGCCAATGGTAATATTCCTAAGGGGAAGCGTGTCACACATTACCCATCACAATAGTGGATTTAAGGCGGCAGCTTAGCAGCGAGGGGGCACCCAGGTTGTGTCGAGGCTGTGTGGAGACAGGGAGGGGGGATGTGGAGGGGTTGAGTAGACAGGCATGCAAAAAGACACTCACCTGTGTACGGCAGGGATAAGCAAGCCGACAGCCACACAAAGCACAGACACAGCAGAATCCTACTCCCTGCTCGCCATTTGGCCTCCGGCAGTGAGGGGTAACTGAATTACAGCAGCAGCAAAAAAGCTAATCTCACTTCCTCTGTGGGGGTCGCGCGCGTGTGCACTTGTACGCCTGTCTGTGGGGTGTCGCGAAGCATTCATTTGTGGGTCCACGCGCATTCGTTCAGACTCAGCATGCACTTTGGAAAGCGTGTCATCCCGACAGTGAGAGTGTATGTTTACTAGATGAAGATGAAGGCCCACATCCAACTGTCCTGCAGGCACCAGAAGGTGAGCCGTAACAGAGGTGAGGAGCATGCGAGCATGCTTATATGTGTGTGACAACTCGAGTATGCATGAAGCTTGTTTACATCGTCTGAGCATGTGTCCACTTGTTAAAGACACCCGTACCCCGTCCCCAACACTCAACTTGAGAAGCTATCGTCTAACATCAGGCAGATACAACCAGTATTTGCAAAGCCTCCGCAGACTCCCAGGAAACAGATGGAAAACCTGAAAAACGGATTAAAATAGTGATTTCGAGCAGGCTCTGTTTGCTTTGAGCCGACTAACATACTCTTGTTGTTGGCTGTTAAGTTCACAAGTTAAATGTTTTTTGGCAGGCAGGAGCAAAAAGCAATGATAGAGTGTACAGTTACACCAGCTGACACAGCTGATAACACCAACATGAAGCACCTGTTTAATGAGTTATTTTGTTATAGCGAGCGCTGAAAACAAAGTACAGCAGAGGTTGATGAGAACAGAATGTTAATAAGAATCAATTTTCTTAAAAGCTTATCCAGCTTAGAGTGTGGGTGGCTGGAGTCTGTCCCTGTTGTCACAGAGCGAGAGGCAGAGTACACCTGCGACAAGTCACCAGCCCGTCACGGATCTAAGAAATCAAGACACATGGCCCCACACTCTCACATCCTTAGCTACACTCAATGTAGACTCACCAGTTTACCTAAGATGTATGCTTTTGTACTGTGGGTGGAAACTCATACAAGCACAGGCAGAAGTTACAATCTTCCCAACCTGATGAATGGCGTTAATTTAGCTAATCAAGCACCAAAGTAACCTTTGTTAGCCTCATGGACATTTTTTTTTTTTTAAAAGCCTTCAAAATCAGTAGGACTCATTCTCAAAGAACTACAACTCCCTCTTGCATAGTCTCATGGTTAATGGGTATGGAGCTGAAGTTTTAAAAAT